GCCTCAGCGGCAGGGTCCGCATGGCGCGCGCGTTCGATTCGGCACACACTTTACACGCTTCGTGGCCACATAGCGAACTGCACCGACGGCCCCACCGGAAGACTCCCCACGTTGAACTTGCATTCGCTTCGGAGCACCCCGCGAACGCCTCGCGACACGCGCCGGGCGCCCTCAAGAATCTCGAACGACGCGCGCGGGTCGCCCGCGGCGCGGGGTCAGCAGCAAAGTCGGGCGGCTGGCAATGAACGAACCGCCAAATCCACCACCATCGTCCTCGTCCTCGTCACCATCATCAGCACCATCATGATCATCATCATCATCATCATCAGCAGCATCATCATCATCGCCACCAACATCATCATCAGCGTCATCTTCATCGCCACCAACATCATCGTTACCATCATCCACATCATCATCATCATCATCATCATCATCATCATCATCATCAGCATCATCATCATCATCATCATCAGCATCACCATCATCATCAGCATCATCAGCATCGCCACCAACATCATCGTTACCATCGTCCACATCACCGTCGTCAGCCGCATCATCACCACCCTTACCCTCATCGACATCATCCCGCTACACCCCTCACGCACATTTTGGCTGTGTAGGGAACTCCGCCGAATGCCCCGGCGGCAGGGCCCGCACGGCATACCCGCACCCGTCTCGGTACACCCGTTTCCCACGCTTCGTAGCCCCATACGGAGCGCCACCGGCAGGGTCCGCATGGCGCACCCGCGTCCGATTCGGCACGCCCCTCGGTCGCTTCGTGGCCCCAGAACGAGTTCCACCGAAAGCCCGCACCCGATCTGGCACACCCCTCTCGCGTTTTGTGGCCCGTATGGGGCTCAGCCGAAAGCCCCGACGACGGAGTCCGCATTGCGCACCCGCACACGATTCGGCGCACCCCTCGTACGCTTCGTGGCCGTACAGGGGTCTCCACAGAAGACCCCAACGGCAAGGTCCGCATGGCGTGCCCGCGCCGATTCGGCATACCCCTCACACGCGTTGCGGCCCCCTTGGGAGCTTCCAGCACGCGGGATCTGGCGCACCCCTCGCGCGCTTCGTGGCCCCATGGGAAGCTCCACCGACGGCGCCGCCGGCAGGGTCCGCACGTGCAGCCGCCTTCGATGCGGCACATCCCTCGCGCGCTCCGTCGCCCCGCGGGGAGCTCCACCGCAGGCCCCGACGGCAGGGCCCGCGCGGCGCACCCGCACCCGACTCGACACGTCCCGCGAACGCCCCGCGGCGTGCACTGGCCGCCCCGCGGGGGTTCGAGCGGGGTCAGAGAGCCGGGTGGCCGACAGAGAGAGAGCGAGGCGCCAGGCAGGAACACTCGGAGGCAGAGCGCAGGGGCGTCCCCGCGACGCGCGCGGGTCGCCCCGGGAGGATTCCCGCGACGCGCGAGGCCATAGAGCTGGGCGGTCGAAGAGAATGCGGGACTCGGGCGGGCCGTTCCTCCTCAGGCCGAGCCACGCGGACACACCCGGGCGAGCCCAAGTCCTCGGCGAGGCCGTCGCTGGATTGAGAATGCCCTCCTCCGGCCCATGTCCGCTGTTCTCCCCGCCCACGCCACCATCCTGATGCCAGGCCCCCTCCACCCTTCTCACCTGCCCCGCGGCGCTCGCAGCTGCATGCGGCTGGGTCCTTCAATTCGCCAGGCTAATTGATCCTGCCTTCCCTGTCGCCAATGTTTCGTCTGGGGCTGTTGTGTAATTGGGGCCCAGCGAGGGCTCCTGCAGGCCGAAAGCTGTCGAAAACGGGCCGCTCCAACCTTGAAGGAGCCTCAGATCTCTGGGAATTGCAGGCTTCTGGGTCATAGCTGGCCGTTCGGGACGTTCGTGGCACCTCCGGGACGCTCCTGGCGAGGCGCACCTGCTGGGGAGCACCTCTCCGGGAACCAAACACACAAGAGAACACCCGAGATTCTAACCCGCGCGCAGAAAGCGCAGGCCTTCTTCCCGGCCATGCACGGCTGCGGGAGCTTGGCCCCCTTGAGGTACACGTGCTTCCACCGCGGCGAGGATGAGTTCCGCAACTGGCAGGCCACGCGCGCGGCGGACCGGCCGATTCTCTCTGCGGCAAGCTCGTGCATCGACTGGCACAAGGCCCTACTCCGCCCTGGAAAAATGCAACTTTCATTAACCACTTGATTGATTTCGTCGCCTTCGCAAGGGCTCCCAGCTTCGCGCTTCGCGCTGCGCGAAGCGCGAAGTGCGAATAACTTCGCGCTCTCGCGCCGCCTCCCAGGGGAGAAGAGGAGGAAGAGGAGGAATCGGGGCCGAACCGCGAAGCGCGGAAAGCTTCGCGCCCTCGAGGGCGCCCTTGCCTTCGGCTCTTTATTCTTTGGCCTCTGAGGGCCGTGTCTGGTCCCCAGGACCGTCAGAAACGGATCCAGGGGATGATACCCCACCCCAAAGGGAGGTCCCCGGGACGCTTCCTCGACACGACCTGCCAGAAGTTGCATTACTTCTCCAGGGAGGGGGGCATAGCCGAGCCTGGCGCTGCGCGGGGCGCGAAGCGCGAGCAAGCTTGCGCGAGCGCGCCGTCCCCCCGGGGGGCGAGGGAGGGGACGACGCCGACGAGGGACGAGGGGCGACGCCGACGAGGGACGAGGAGGACGAGGGAGGGGGCGCAGACGGCGAACCTCCGCTTGCCGACGCCGCGCGAGTGCTGCGGCCTCGAGCGGGAGCGGCTTCCCGACAGCGCACACCCGGCAAGATCGACCGGCTCTGGGCCGCCGGCGGCGCTCTGCCTGGAACGCCCTCGCCGGGGTCGCCGGGGCGCCGGCACGGCACGGCACCCGCCGTGCCGCTCCATCTCCGGACCTGCTGCGCAGCAGCGGTCGACCCGGGTCGCTGCCGGATCTCTCGGCGCTCCCCGTGTGCACTGCCTGTCCCGATCGAGCTCGGACGATTCTACCATGGAGAGGGCCGACAAAAATGGGCAGCCTCACGGGGGGAGGCAAAGACATGGAACTGGCAATACATCGGAAACGGAAACGGAAACGGATCGCCTGTGCGGGCATGCGCCCGGGCCCCTGAAGGGCGAGTCGGATGAGGCCATGGCCTCGCATAAGAAGCTGCGCGCGTCGTGGGTCTACTCAGAAGAATGCGTACTTCAGGAGCTGATTTCCCGACAGTCCCCACTGGCAGTACATCGCCACCGATAAATCGACGATCAGCTCCCGATGGAACAACCGCACACCCCTTGGCTGAAAAGGGGGCCGCATCACGTGCCCTGATCGGGGATGAATGGGCGACTGCGGGTCGAACATTCCCGACTGAGATGATCCACCTTCGCCAACAAATCCCACCAGCCCTCTGGGCGCAGGTGGTCCAACGAGATCCCTCTTCCCTCTTCCAAAGACCCACTCTTCCCCTACGGGGAAGGGCTTTCTCCTCCCCTTACCCCTCCCCTGGACTTTTTTTGGGGGCCCCGCGAGGAAGCCAAAATCATTGGTTTTACTAAGGTGTCGGCCCAATTTGGGCCTCTTTGGAAAGGGGGGATTGAACTTTATCCCGCCAGCCCTCTGGGCGCCCAAATAATTGGCTTTACTAAGGTTTGGGCCCCAGGTTGGCCTCTTTCTTTTTTTATTAGGGGGGGGGGGGCTGAGCGTTATCCCACCAGCCCTCTGGGCGCCCAAACCATTGGTTGTACTAAAGTTTTGGCCACATGTTGGCCTCTTTTGGGGGGGGGGGCTGAACGTTATACCATCTCCTCCTTTGATCGATGGCCTTCCAGATGGCCCCGAGAGGCCTTTCAGGGCTCAAAAAAGGGCCCCAAGAGAGCTCCAAAACCCTCCCCAAGAGCCCCAGGAGAGCTGCAAGAGGCGATTTCGAGGGTTCATGGGAGGGGACCGAAATCGAGGATCCCTCATCTTTTGATCGATGCTCTCCTAGATGGCTCCAACAGGCCTTCCAGGGCACCAGCCGTAGCACCAGCAGAGGCAACAACATCAGCAGCAGCAGCACCAGCAGCAGCAGTAGCAGCAACAGCAGCAGCACCTGGGACCACATTCTTTGGATCCCTCCGCCTCCTCCTCCTCCTCATTCTCCTCTTCCCCTCGCCCCCACGCGGCCCCCAGGGATGGCCCGACGAGGCCTTCCAAGGCCACCCCCTTGCTCCCAGAGACCTTTCGGTTTTGCTCGCACTGTTTCCCTAGATGTGTCCCTTGTCTTTTTTTTCCCGTGTGCTCTCGTGGGCACGGCTTCTGAATGGGCTGGTGGGGATACGCCAAGCGTGAAACACATCCAACATCGCGAACGATCACAAACAAAACTCTAGGCCTGAAGCTTCATTGTTCCCGTCACGTTTCGAACAAGATCGATCGGGGATGGTCCCAAGGCCCGAAGACAGGCGAAACGCCCTTACGGGGGAAACGCAACGCCCTGATCTGAAGGTGCCCCGAACACCGTGCCGTTTTTTTTATGTAGGACGCTGCGCTTAACGTTAGACATACTTTTCCTTTTGGGAAAAATAATGGTTTGGGGGTGCGCTTGGGGGCAAAAGGGGCCCTCGCATTGCGATGACCTGTGAAGAGGAGGCCAACGCCGGCTTATACGCGGTCGGCGCGCGGTCAAAACGTTTGCGCAACGCTTTGCCATGAACGCTAAACGCACACGAGCTAACTGTGCACGTCTACCCCGTCCATCCGACAACCCCAATCACAATCCGTAGCGATATGATCCGAGGAAACACAGCGCACTCCAACGACGCCCGTGAAGCAAACTTATCCACTACAGGGCAACATACCAAAAATAGCCTGGCGAAGGGCCCAACCATACGCAGCTGTGAACACCGCAATTGTGAATACCATCTTCGCCTGCGCTCCCTATGTGGCCACAACCCGTGTGCGGGGCGCGCCGAAATGCGTGGCTTGTTGCACAACGCGAACAAGTACGACAGGTCTGTGCGCGAGAGACTGAGAGCGGGTGAGTCCGAGCACGGGTGAGTCTGATTGTGTATGAGTCTGCGCGCACGTGAATCTACGTGCACGAATGTCGACGCCCATGTCGGCACGCCCCTCACAAGGGTCGCGCCCGCTTTCTTCCCGTTTTTTTTCTCCCTCTTTGCCCGTGCACCCGTGCACGTCAATGTTCAAGGCTGGTCCCGGCGACGCGCGTGGGTCCGCTGCGCGGAGCAGAGAGAACTAGCTGGCTGGCTGATAGCGGGCAAGGTTCTGGCCGCTGGGCAGACCGACGACGGGGGCGAGCGAGGCGCTGGGCAAAGCGCATCATGGAGTTCACGCGACGCGTGCTGGTCGCCCCGAGAGGGTCCCAGCGACGCGCGCGGGTGTCCGCCATGCGAGCCTACCTCTGGTGCCTTCGGTGGAACTCCCTATGGGGCCACGATCCGTGCGACAGGTGCGCCAAAATGGGGCGGGACCGCCATGCGAACTTTGCCACTGGTGCCTTCGGTGGAGCTCATGTGGGGCCACGATCCTCGTGAGGGGTTTGCCGAAATGGCCCGAGGCCGCCATGCGAACCCTGCCACTCGCGCCTTCGGTGGAGCCCCCTATGGGGCCATGATCCTCATGATGGGTGTGCCTAATGGCCCGAGGCCGCCATGCGAACCCTGCCACTGGCGCCTTCGGTGGAGCTCCCTATGGGGCCACGATCCTCGTGAGGGGTGTGCCGAAATGGCCCGAGGCCGCCATGCGAACCCTGCCACTGGGACATTCGGTGGAGCTCCCTATGGGGCCACGATCCTCGTGAGGGTTGTGCCTAAATGGCCCGAGGCCGCCATGCGAACCTTGCTGCTTGCTAGCGCCTTCGGTGGAGCTCCTATGGGGCCACGATCCTCGTGAGGGGTGTGCCGAAATGGCCCGGAGCCGCCGTGCGAACCCTGCCACCGGCGCCTTCGGTGGAGCTCCTACGGGGCCACAACCCTCGTGATGGGTGTGCCCACATGGCCCGAGGCCGCCATGCGAACCCTGCCACTGGCGCCTTCGGTGGAGCTCCCTATGGGGCCACGATCCTCGTGAGGGGTGCCGAAATGGGGCGGTGCCGCCATGCGAACCTTGCCACTGGCGCCTTCGGTGGAGCTCCTATGGGGCCACGATCCTCGTGAGGGGTTTGCCGAAATGACCCGAGGCCGCCATGCGAATCCTGCCACTGAGGCCATCGGTGGAGCTCCCTATGGGGCCACGAAACGCTGTACTGGGTTGGTGAAACGCAGGGAGGAAGGAGGAGGGGGAGGAGGGAGGAGGGGGAGGATGAAGGAGGAAGGAGGAGAACGCGGGGATCGTCTCTTCACGACAATCAAGACCCAACACCACAAAATGGTTGGGAAAACACAAATGGAAACATAGAAAGGACAAGTCCCGGAAACAACTTCAGGAACACATAGCTCCAAAAACAATTGCCTGGAACATGTTCTGGAACATAATTTTTCTCATGTGAATCACGATGGAAATGGGACTTTGCCAGAAATTATGTCTGGCTGCGCCCCGTGGCCTGATGGACCTGGCAGACCAGATGGCCGAAACGAGAGCGCCAGGCGGGCTGGTTGGGCCAGGCGGACTGGACAACCTCGTGGCACGACCAGACGCGTTGCAAACTCTGTGCTAGACCAGACGCCAGACAGCGGGACGCGACAGACCCTCACCAGCGCCCAAAAGCCAATTCGAGCAGCATTGCACTGATCTCGCGGACGTGGGGACTGGAACATGCAACTGCTGCGCATCGCGCGAGGCCTCCAGGATTTTCCTCATAGCCCGGGGGTGTCGTCGGCTCTTCGCTTTCCGCTCTGGCAGCTCCTGGGGGCCCCTGGGCCTCATTCCTTTGATCCCGGCGTTGCAGCTTTTTCACACCGGGCGTTTCCGCCCAGGCTCGAGCCCCGGTGACCCTCACAGAACGGTGAGCCTCGAAAAATGCTGCCGAAAACTTGGATCTGAGGCTCCCACGTCGGATCTCAGGGTCGTGTGAGGTGCGCTGGGAGCCGTGGGGCCGTGGTGACCTCTGGCAGCACCCGAAAGAGAAGACATCGCGTTACTCTTGTTGTTCGATGCTTGGGCCCACGAGGTCTGGAAACTTGCCCAGAGCAGTTACTCCATCCTGAATCGTTCGTCGACGGTCCCAGAGCCCTTTGAGGGCGTGCGGAGCAGAAAACGTACCGAAACCGGCCGCTCGAACTTTTCGGGGCCTCGGCTTTGTAGGAAGCCTGCCCCCACCCCGGGCTGGAGCTCCTTCTTGAAGCTCTGGCCCCAGTTCTGCGGCCGGTCGTTCACCCCGTGCAGCCAGATGAAGGCGGCCTCGCAGGGGCCTCCCAGGCGGGGGGCGCAGCGTGCGGCCTCTCTCCCAGCCATGCCTCCCAGGCGCCCGCGCACCCTCAGAGAACCGTGCGCCGCGGGGAGTGGCATCCCCCTGGGGGAAGACCGCGTGCTCTGGAAGGTCAAGATCCGACTCGAAAGCAGACGTGTTTTCTTGGAAATCGAATCCCCTCCGACGACAACGAACACCTTCTGGGTCTCCCCCCCCCCTCGCGGACGCCCCCCTGACTGGAGCCCCCCGCCCACTCTGGGCGCTCGCCTTCCTCAGGGCCTTGGCCTGGGAACGGTCTCTGGAGACCGAAAAATTCACAAGCGGCGGCCGTCGCCATTCTTGCTCTAACGCCTGCATCTGAGGGTCCCTCAAAGCCACGGGCTGCTCCACCTGGTGAGGGGAGACAAAAATGGGGGGGGGAATGGCGCAGGGAAGGGGGACAATGATTGGGGCCCCAAGCAACGATCGGCGAGTCGGCGATCGGGGGTCGATGTTCCCCCCCCGCTGGGCCAGCCCAGTCCCCCGATGAAAGTGCTCCTGAACCACCTCTAGGACGCTACCGACTGTCAGGTCGGACGACAAAATGAGAGAGTTAGCAAAGGGGGGTTCGCGAACCAACTCACGGTGCCGATGTTCCCGGCGCCTCCCGGCGACAGAGGCGCCCATGCATCGCGGCGGACGCCCGGCGGCGGGACCGAGACCGAGGAGGTGCACGCAGCAAGTATCTGACCGTCTGCAGGCGTTCGACTGGCCTTTCGAATAGACTGCGTCGTAGATGGGAAAAAAAACCTATGGTGCGCCTGCCCTCCTTAGGCATTCTATAAAGGGCCACAATAAGCTGTCTCACAATGGATGGCGCATCCCCGAGGATGTGCATCGCAATGAATATCCCTAAGAAGACGCTGAGCCCTTGATCGCAGATTTTGGCAGAATGACGGGGGTGGAAGTCGATCGCGATCGCGGCAACCTTGAGGCTCCGCGAAAGGTTTCTGATGCCTTCGACGTCGGGTCCGGCCGGGACCTGGACCTCGAGCTCTCCGCCCAATCGCAGCAGGCGCTTCCGGTCATCCCCCAAGCCGCGCTCCACGTCTGCCCCTGTGCCCCGAATCTGAGTCTGCTGAAAAACGAAGCAGAGAGGGTTCCGTCTGGGAGCTCGACCGCGACTTTTTTAAAATCAGAAGCGAGTTTTGTGCATTGATGGTTCCTCGAAGCACGGCCTTCCAAGACTCGGGGGTTGCGTTTCGCAGCCAACGGCCGGCGCAAATCGACATTTTCGGTTCTGCAAGGGAGGCCCCCTTGGCGGCCCCGGGCCCCCCCTCTGCGGCAAGTCTCTCAACTCTTCCCGGGCCGTCGCGCGCCGCCCATCGTGCGCCGCATTGGCGGCCTGCTCGAGGCCTTTTCTCTCCTCGGGCTCGGGGGTGCGACGTCCTTCTGAGCCTTTGAAAGTTTCCCGGGCCCGTTGCATCTCGGACGCCAGCTCGGAGTAATCTGGCGGCTGACGGCGGGGCCCCGCAGGCCGCTGCACTGGTTGCACTTCACGCTTGCAAAGACGGTCGAATTGCACGAAGAAGGGCTCCGCAATCAAGTGGAGATCCACGGCGCAATGCGGGGAAGCGTCGCTGTTGAGACCCGTGCTGACCGAGAGAAATCCTTCGGCGAGCGTCCGGCTGGCCACAAAGAGATCAAGAATACGGCGCGCATCTCGATGCGGCACGTCGGCACCACTGGATCGAAAAGGAAGCCAGCTCCGAAGCGGCCCGGTTCCAGACCAACCTGAAATTCACTGGGTGCGAGGTTGAAATCCCCGCCGATGCGAAGGGCAACCCGCGCGTGAGAACGTGATCCCCCGACTGTTTGCACAACCCCACGCTTTCCATCCCCAGGCCAGCACTGGTCACCCAGAAGCGCGAGTACGCGCTGAACACCCAGGGCTCCGTGGCGACACCAAGCGCGGATAATCCTGCCTGGCGAAACAATTCCTTGCTTAGGTTCTTGCCACCAGTCTAGGTGGCGTCTGCGCAGTATAGCCACCCCTCCTGAGGGGCACCCTGAAACAGCGGCACTCGCGGTGGCCCAGAAACTGCCCCAGCCAGCCGCAAGGCAAATCTTCTTGGCTTCCGAAAGCTCGCCCCGGCGCAACATGCGCTCTTGGACCAGAACCTAGTGGGCCCCGGTGCATTTCGCATGCTCCAAGGCTTCTTCCATCCCGAGGATTTTATAATGCAAATATGGGAGGAAAGTCCGCCCGACACAGGGCGAGGAGAGTCAGGCGGGCGTCCAGAGGGGGGGCGACGGGACTTAACCAGGCCCTCCTGATCCTCCGTGATCCTCATGATCCTCGCTGATTGTTACTGACAAAACTCCTCCTGGTCCTCGCTCGGAAGGCCAGCTTCCGCGGCGGCGGCGGCCTTCGGGCAGGGGCAGTACGACGGCAAGAAGCTTGGCCATTGGCTCAGGGCGCGGGGGCTCAGGCTCACTTCGTTTGGTCCTTCTTCGGGGGCTCCTCTCGCGTAGCGATTCACCTCTAGCGTCTGCAGCACGGGGAGGACGCCCTGGTGGTCCCTCTCGTTCCTCTCGCGGCGGGAGGGCGGCAGCTGCTGGGACTGGTGCTGGTGCTGGTGTTGATGGCTGCGCTGGGCCTGCTGGGGCCGACGATGCCGAAGATGGCGATGATCCCGCCAGCGGTGGGCCCAGGATGTCCACTGCCTCCGTGTCGCACTGCGCGTCTTCTCTTTTCTGTGCGACCTTGTTTGCTGCCGCCTGCTCGAGCTGCCTTCTGCTGTGGTTGCAGTTGCCGACACCTGGCTCGCGAGCTCCTTCTGGCATCATTGCATGCGCTGCTGGGCCTCCTGGAGGTTGGTCCGCTCGTCCTGCAGGTGTTTCTCGTGCTGCTGGAGGTGCGCGCGGGCGTTCCGAACCTTTGTCACCATGGGGCCCACGTTCTTCTCGTGGACAGTAACCTGGCGCTAAATCTTTTGAAGTCCACTGCGGGCCACCAAGAGCTTCTGCGAGGCAGACTTTGTGGAATCCCGCTCTGCACGAAGGGAGGCCAGCTTGGTCCGCAACGCCTGGGCTGCGGGCTGTTCATCGTCTCCATCTTTCGTGAGCATGTCCAACACGTTCTGTGGGGGCGCTGGACTTTGTGCCGCCCAGGGTGACGTCATCCTCTGCAGGTTGAGGAGGATGAGAAGCAGCAGGAGTCTCTGCGGCGCCCACAGTCGACGGCGGGCCCCTGTCCCCTGGCGCTTCTGGACGTCCCCATACGACGACCTCGGCCCTTGGAGCGCCGTCCTCGGCCACTGCCTTCGCGCTCGGCTGGGGGGTCTCATCCACCACGCGGGCTGTGAGCTGGAGAAGACTACCCTTTGTTCTTCCAGTGGCCTCCACACTGCCACAACCATGAGAGGGTCCACGATGTTGATGCCTGGCACGTGCCGCACGTCCAAGCGTAGTCACGCGGCCCGCTTTTTCCGCCGCCATGCCCAGCGGGCTTACCCATGGCTGCGGGTGAGCGGGAAACAAACGGAAGGTGGTCGTTTCGAGCCAGATCCTGGCCCCAGTCAAGCTGGGGCTGCCTGAAAATATGGAAATATGGAAGCGGAAACCCTGGCTGGGCAACCACCTTTGAGACCCGCGGACACGGAATTGATCCTGGACCACCTCGAGATATGGATGGATTAAACCAAAATGGCTTGAGCCAAAATGGCTACGGACTGGTATGGCCTTTTTCCTCCTGGCTGAATGTCCCATCGCCAGCAAGGCCGACTCGACTCCTCCGCCACCACCACCAGCGGCACCGGCTGCAAAGCACGATAGTCCAGTTGGCGCGAGGACCACCACATGCATGTAACTCCCGCTTCCCATCTGAATGCCTATGCCCGCGATCCACCTCTACAAGCGTGTCCAGCATGTTAGCAAAAAACCTCGAGCGCGTTAAGGAGCATAGCCCGGGTCGCAGGCGAGGTAGGCGCAGCCGTAGGATAAAGCTCAACCTTGGCCTTCGACTTGAGCGGGTCGGCAGCCGAGACGGCCAAGATGTGCGCAGGAACCTCAGCGAGCACCTGTTCACGAATCCAGCGAAACCGCGCCGCGACCACCGTTGCCGGCGTCGAGGGGGAAGGGGGGAAAGGGGAGGGAACGGGGGCGCGTGCGCGTCCAAGAAGCTGCGAGGACAGGCGAGCGCCTGAGCCAGAGCAGCTGGAGGAAGAGGAAGGAGCAGGGAGGGGGGGAAAGGACGTAGGATGGGCAGGCCCCGTCGGAAGCTCGATCACGCCCGCCTTTGATCAACATCTCATCCGAGGCGTGGAGGACCCCCCCCGCCCGGGCGTTCGCCTTCCTCGGCCGGGCCGAACACCAGCGGCTCGCCCAGCTGCAGCGGCGCGTGGCCGCTCGGCATGCCCCCCGGGCAGCGCCGCGCCCGCGGCCGGCGCGGGCGGCGAGGGGAGGGGGACACGCCGCTGCGCGCCGCGGGGGCCGTGCTGGGCTGCGTGGAGGGAGGCTCAGATCGAGGACGAGGATCGCGCGCCCCATCCTGGAGCCTCTTGGAGCCCTCTCGGCCTCGTGAGGGGTGCTCTGGAGGCCGCGTGGGGCCTCCTTGGATCCCGAGGGAACTGCAGGATGTGTGCATCCTTCTACTTGCAGGCCTGATCTGTGTCGCATCGTTAAATCGAATTGGATCGGGCCTAGATCTGCGCGGATCCGTATCGGGATCGAATCGTCTGGGGGGTCACGGATCGGTCTCGTCCCATGCAGGCTGGAGAGGATTCGTTTCGTGTCAGATCGGATCAACATAGGAATTGGACATCAACGATCGGATCGGATCGACTCGGACCGTGAGCAGCCCTGATTTGTCCAACAAGAAAGCCAACCACGCTGAGCTACAACACACAAGTAGGCACAACACAGGAGATGTCTGCATCAAAAGGGTGCCCAATGCACGACCTAAGTGGCTCGCGAGCGGCTACAACTTATGATGCCTCACACATCGCGCTGCAAGTGCAAGGCCGTCAGAGGTCATGCATGCTACGATCAACAGCGTCAGATATACTCCACGATCGAAGATGCTGAGATCATTATGCAAATTGTAATGCATCATGAGGGCCTGATCCTGGATATACCAGCATGCACCTGGACGCTGGCAAGCCCGCCTCGTTGAAGGTATCTAAGACCTGAAGGTGCGTGACGAGGTCACCACCGGGCACGTAGTCCATCACCATGTAGAAGGAGCTGGGCATCGGGAAGACGGATACGGCTCTCCGAATGCAACGCCTGATGAAGCCTCAGCATTTGGCATGACCGCACCGCGTGCGGCTTGATGTCCGATTGCTGCTCTCCTCCATTCAAATGCCACCTAGCGCCTTGAAACAACTCCTAGTAGCTGATGCAACCCTTCGTGAGCGACACTTCCGTAACGAGCTGTGATTTGAGGGTCAACGATACGTGGGGGGGACCAGCTCTATGGGGGGTACCATTTCTCTGGGATCCATGATGTATCTATGATGTGTCTATCGTGATGCTCTGGGGTGCTCTTGCTCTGGGGTACCATTGCTCTATGATGTATCGCTCTGGGCCGCCCCCCGATAGCGCAACAAGACGGTCCTGGGCGGGGTGGGCGGGCTGTCGGACCCCTGTCGGCGATTACTGGGTGATTGAGGGTCGATGGGCCCCCCCCCTGAATGAGCCCCTGCCCCTGGTGATCCTTGCGCCTCAGAGGGTAGGAACGCCGAGAAGGGGCAGGAAGGGAGACCGAGTTTGATCAGGTGCTCCTCTCGCCCACCCGTGGCCTCACACAGCGGGGGAGGGGGGGAAAGGGGAGAGGGAGACAGACTCAGCCGCGTAAACTTCGGAGCCCGGCGAACCAAACACACGTAACAAACATAAGCAACCACATGTGACCCCTACCCCTGCAAGTCACTCTTCTGAAAACCTGCCGGGTTCCGAATTCATGGATGTCTGCAGCCAAGTCGCCCCCAGCAGGGGTATCCGATACCCCAGCGTCGATCGGATCCGCCAGGATGGGGTTCGCAAGCGGTCGCAGAATATCAAGCGCCTCGATCGCGGGGAGACACGTACCAAAGGTGGCGCCTTCTGAATGAGTGTGCACCTGTCTATTCGCTTCAACGTTGCCAGCGAGGCCGGTGCCGTAGCGGTGGTCACGGCGCTGTGCCCACCTGAAATTGTCGACGTTGGAATCTTGAGCTTCAGACTTTGACCGTTGAACGGAGCTGAAGGGGCTTCGAAGGATGTAATCTTTCCAAGCCATCTGACAAACCCTGATCTGAGACGGACTGGAGGCCCGGGGAGGACATGTCGTAAGCCCTCTGAGTATCACCAAATGCAGCTGGAAAGAAGGGAAAGACCACCAGAACCAGCAGCTCCAGAAACAGAACGTTGACTGGCCCCTCCTGGTCAAGTGCCAAAGCTGGATTGGGGCCTGCTCCTGTTCTCATGGCGCGATGGAAGCATGGAGCCTGCGAGTGGGGACCTCGGGACAGTCGTGCAAAACAACGAGATTCTACTTCATGAGTATCGTTTATCCGATCCCCATCCCCAGCGGCGTGGTCTGGGCCCCACTGGCCGATTTACCCCCCTAGATGGGGATGTAGGCCGTCCCCTTCGGGTTTCGAGGGGTGTATCCCCAACTGGGGTGATAATTTGGTGGGGGTCTCGAAGGGGATGAGGATGGGGATGAGGGTCGGATAAACGAGACTGACTTCAGACGAAAAGCCAGCAAGATGGAAAACCAAGGCACGCGTGGGACCGTCACAAGCACTCGTTGAAGCAAAGAAGACAGGCAAATGCTCAGTCACGGCACCGGCCTGAAAGAGACGGTGGCCCCATCTCCGCTGGGCTTTACGTGCGCCCAGTCGTTCCAGGCACAGCAACCGAAACGCGACCACAAAAACGTGGATCAACAACGCGAGCTTGCTCGCCGAAGACCGGTCACCCGAAGAAGATGCCAAAACCACAGAGCATCTGAAGGTGGGGAGCGAAACACGGAATAATATCTGAGGCTGAGCTTGTCCTCGAGCCTTCGCGCCAGCTGCACGAATTCGCTCAGTCAGAGATTCGTACACGTGTGCCTCTTCGGATGCTGCCAGGCTGTTGCCCCGCGGATGGCTCGGCGATCCCTCCCTCCCCCCCTCCCCCTTGCCATGTAGGACGACGAGCAAGAACAGACAGCGAAGGGAACCACTGCAAGTCGTAGTTTCAGGCCGCTGGGGATTCTGTCTGAGAAGACAATGGGACGATTTCAGTGAAGTCGGCGACGCCAACAAGCAGGCCTGGGCCTGGGCACCAATGTTTTCATTAGCCATCGTGCAAGGAGCTGCTGCGTGACGCCCCCCTGTGCATTTCTTAACCGTCATCCCAAATCAATCCTTGCCCTGGTCCCCCTACTCCTCTGAGATCCGACGTGGCGAAACACATGCAACATCGCGAAGAATCACTACTGGAGCCCTGGACCGCATTTTTCTGCGGTGATGTTCGAGACGGATCGATCATGGGAGTTCCAGGGACCGAATCTGGGCGAAAACGTCCCCGGGCGAAAAACATGTAGGGCCCGGATCTCAGGGATGTGCTAGATGTGCCTCACAGCAACGCGTTCTCTGCATTCAACCGAAGATCGCCCAAAATCCATACCACGAGCTTTGCCTAACACTGCCCCGAGTCCAGCCGTGGCCAGCGGAAAGCACCAGCAGTGGCGACCGCTACAGAAGAACAGCCGAGACCCCAGGAGCAGAAGTTTCAGAAGTGTAATCGCAGAAGCCTTGATCGTCCCCTGTGATCCTCTCTGCCCTAGTGAGCTCTGGCATGGGGGAAAGAGGACCCACAGGCACTCCCCGGAGACCAACTTTGAATCCAAAAGCGCTCTCTGTCGGATCCGGGACCTTGCCCGGACGCCGCAAAACGGCGAAATACCTCAGGACCCATGCGGGGGGGGGGAAACATGGTACCTATACCGCTGCCCCCTGGACCTCTCCCGAGGCGGGTCCTGACCAGGATCCCGAGGAGAATCGGGTCGGGCGAAAGGGGGGGATAGCAAAGGGGGGGGGTGAGAATCAGCTCACGTAGCTGATCTTCCCGGCGCCTCCCGGCGCCGGAGGCGGCCATGTATCGAGGAATGGGCCCCTCGGTGAGGCCGAAACCAGCTGCATGCAGCAGATTTCGTAACCCCCCCTTTCCCAATCCCCCCCTTTCGCCCGGCCCGAGAAAATGAGGCTCCAGGGTCATGAGATGGTCGCGCTCCGCGGCGCCCGACGCGTGGCTGCCTTCGCGCCCCCGCGCTGCCACCCTGGAGGAAGGGCACACGCCCGGCCCAGCCGCGACGTGCGAACACCGCTTGTCTGCCTCGGCGTGGAGCAAACGGACCCTGAACCAACACAGGCCAGGGATCATGTCTTTTCTTGCACGTCTCGGGGCCCATGGACGGCCCTTGGAGACCGAAAACTTGGGTGGGCAGCCGGATTATCTGGGATAAGTGAGCGCTTTTGTTTCACCTCTGGGGTAACGGTCGTTACCCAGAAGGGGGGGGGGCGGCGGGAGGGTAACGGTAACGGCGGCCGCGGCGTGCACCCACCAGGGTGCGTCCGCGTCACCCGCGCAACCATCGCCCGCGTGTGCACCACAGTCCCTACGTACACAACAATGCCCACTGCCTGCGTGTTACACACTGCCGCCTGTATACACCGCAATGCCTCCGTAGACCGCAACAGCCGCGTGCACCGCAGCACGACGTCGCCTACGTACACCGCAGTGCCTGTGTAAACTGCATCTGCCGTGTGCGCAACAGCGCCTGCGTACACCTCGTTACCTGCGTGTACCAGAGCGCTCGTGTACAGCACAACGCCTGTGTCCACCACAGCAACCATGTGTACCGCAACGCCTACGCGGGCCACAATGCCTCCATGCACCACAGCGCCTGTGCACACCAGAACGCCAAACGTGCCAACGAGCACATTAGTAGCTTGCGAGGCCTCCTTACGGTGCTCGCCACAGGACTCGTCATTCATCTCCTCCTCCTCCTCCTCCTCCTCCTCCTCCACAAGATCCTCTTTCTCCTCCTGCCCTCCTTCCTTCAACGGTCCTGGCGGCCTTCGTGGAGGGAGGGGAATACGGAGCAGGGGGAGGAACAGCAGGAGGAGCGAGAGGAGAAGCAACAGGAGGAACAGCAGGAGCCTCACGATGGGGCCCATGGGGTCGAAAGCTCCAGCGCCGTGGAATTACCAAAACAACGCTTGCGTTCAGGCGCTCGTTCTCCCCGCGCAATGCTTGCACTGGTGCCGACATTGGTAGCGCCGCACAGGTTTCATCGCGTGCCCTGCGTGTCAAACAACAAGTGCCTGGGGCCCGCGTGCGACAACGTGTTATTGCTCGACATCGGTCCCCCGACCCGCCGCCCTCCGAGCAAGGCACCTTGCCAATAAGTCCGCCTGACCGATGCGCACCGCAATGGCCTGCAAGCGCCACAACACTTACAGCAAGCGTGTGAGCACCGCCGAAACATGCATTTCGGCACCGCGCCATGCTTGTGAGCTCGGCGCCGCAACAGGTGGGTAGCCTGCGAGCGCCACAACACGCTTATGAGCACCAACGCATGCCTTTCAGTCAGCACCACGCCATTCCTGTGAGCACAGTCCGCCCCCTAGTATGCAGGGGGGGGTCCAGGCCTCCACGCCTAGCACGATCGTTAGCGTTACCACCGGGTTAGTAGTGGCCCTGGTAACGACTGGGGCACGGCCCTCCTGCGGCCATGTGATCCGGGAAAACCTTTGAAACGCTGATATGGGACAACTCCCGCGCCAAGAAGATCACTGTACAACATTTACACGTGGCAGAGATGTGATCTGGGAGAACTGGCCCAAACTGCAATCCGCCGACCCCTTGGGGCTCATCGGCTTGTGAGATGCTTCCCCCCCTCCCCAAACCTCTTTCCCAGGAACCTGGTCGGGTCGATTTGGAAAGGGGAACCCAGTGGAACGCGCAAGGGCGGGGACAGCGGGCTCCAAAACATGCCAAGAGGGCCCCGAGCAGCCATCTGGGGCGGTCAAGAAAGGCCACGAGCCGATCAAAGATCGGTCCAAAGCGCAACGCTGGCCCCCGGACGGCCCAAGGGGCCCCCAAAACGCCCCAAGAAGCTCCCAAGAAGCGTCCAACAACTGCCCCCAAGGGCAAGAACCGCCACATTATGATGGGATACTGTGATTTGTTCTACATTTTCGCCTCTC